ATTCTTTGGGGTATGTGGTAGTTTTGCGTGTCTGGGAATCTTCCATCTGGCTAGTGTGGGTTTCCTAAACACTATAAAACCCCGCCTGTGGAGATTGTATATCTCTTATGGGCCCCATGGAGTTTATAATCTGCTTTTAATCATTGCACAAAGCAGCCAACACATCAGTTCTCATCAAGCACTTTTTTCCACTTTGAATATCCTTTAATGACTTTTGATCCAGTTCTGAGAGTCCAGAACTATTGCTGATTTTCATTGGTATCCTGACTGCTACAAGATTTTCCTCCCTCGACTCCTTCCATGCAAAGTCTCATAACCATTGACTTCTACTGCTTGTTACAGTAAGTAGCAGATTCATAACACTTTGCTCTCACTTACTGGTCTTTTGAATATAGCCACCAGCATCTGTTTCATAGCAAACTAGAGGTCAGATCCTTAGTCAGGACAAATTAATGCAACTCAGTGCAACACAGCTAAGCCAATTTACTGTAAGTAAGAAAGTACCTCTATGTTTACATTCTTCAACGAGTCACCAGAACTTCCTTTACATTTCAAAATGCTAGCATCAATTAAATTCCCTATATGATATTAAAAGATTACCAACTATTAAATCCCAGCAGAAATTCACAGTAGCAGACAATGTGGTGGTTTCATTAAAAGCAAAATCACTTTTGACACAAATCAGTGAAACTATTAAAATCTATAAAGTTGCACTTCTCATTGCCAGTAGTTGACATGATCTCACGTTCACCAGAACGTATTTTTGTAAGCTAAAAAAAATAGCAGTTTAGCATAGACAGAAGATCCAAATGTATCTAAATGTATCATCTTGATAAAATAAGAAATCAAATTATATTAATTCTTTTGAAGGATGAAAATAAAAGACATGTATCTTCAAATTAAAATAAAACCAATCAAGTTATCTGGCATTTGGTGTTACATCCAAAACAAATGGCTCTAAGTCTGGGTGAATGTGCAACTTGTTTCCTTTGTGTAGCGCTTCTGCCTGCAATTTCTAATTAACTAGCTCTATTCTTATTTACAACAGGAGACTGAAAGCATACAAGCCACAATATAGACTTCAACTAAATATACGTAGGTATGATTTTAAAAGGGAGACAACTAGTTAACAACATTTGCATACAGCAAGGAGGCTCAATAGGTATAATAAACCAGAACTGCTTGCTTTTAGCCTGCTCCCTGCATAGTTGTGCTGTACTGAATACAAACTGTACATTAAAGATACCATGTTTGCTGTTAAAAATCTCCAGGGACCTTAGACCTATACATAAAGATACTTATTTTACTCTTTTCTGAGACACTGACCTGTATCCTCATTTAAAAATGAACACTCCATCTTTATGTTATTAAATCTTTGTTTTGATCTATTAGTATTCACCAAAGAGCCATTTTACACAACCCCACACTGAATAGGCAAGGCTGGAGGTAACCATCTGCAGCTTTAGAGGCTGCGTTTGAATTGATGAAAAGAGCTTTGTGTTTTCATTGCCAAGTTTGATTCTTCCAGTGATTAGACATTCCCCTCAGATCGCATCAATGAAGCGGACTCTCTTACACCCATGTGTTAAATTCTCTTCTCCTCATGGTTTCCTTTGCCAGCTATACTCCAGAAAGACTACTGGGTCTTAGCCACATTCTTCTCACAGCTGTGTTAAAAAACAGCATCAGAGCGTCTTCCCAAAATCCATATGTGTATCTGGTCAGTCCCCCGTCAGAAGGTCACCTCGCATTGTGGTGTGATTATTCAAATATTCATTCTTGTTCTTGAGCTGCACTGCTCCGATCATTCTGAGAGAGATTAGGCCCTCCAGTGAGCACTGGAGAATGTCCTGGACATCCATGTGAAATGCACACGGCTCCTGTACTGGCAGGGCAGATTAGCTTTAATTGCAGAAGGGGACTCCAATCACTTAGTAAATGCTCAACCGTAATTTTTTCATTTCTATACTCTGGCAAATGCTGGTAAGAACTTTTTGTTTCTGCTGTCTTATTGACAGACTTATTTATCAGCATCAGCTAAAAAGCAAAACTATGTGAGCAACTCTGATAACAGAGAAATCATGTTCAGAAATGCTAGAGGGAAACCCGGGACCACTCATACATGGGTGCATTCCAACAACAGTGAAAGCTAGGTGGTCAAACGGCACACCTTAGGAGGTAAAGCAAATCAATGTTATTACAAATTGTGGGTTTTTTTTGGTGAGAGGCAGTAATTTTTTTTTTTACTAAAACCACCTGACTGTTTAGAACTAGTTTATTTTTTTCTTGTATTCAAAATATTGATAAATTTTATCTAATCTGTAACTAACTTTCCTGAGCTCCTCCTTAAAAGGAAGAAAATAAAAAGACAGTTTCTTTAATAGTCAGTTAAGGAAAAAACAAGTAAGAATTTCTGCTTTATATTTTAGCACTGCACCATTACTGCATGGTTGTGTGTTTACTTTTAGAGGACTACATAGAAATTCTACATGCATACCCTCCACTGCCATCTCCTGCACACAGCTATATGAGCGTGCAAAGGCTGCGTTCACAGATGCAGAGCTACACTTTCCTGAGCCAGAATCATTAAACTGTGAGAAAAAGAATAAAAGCCTTGATAGATAAACTGCATTAAAATTCACTCTAGCTGCAAAGTCATTGCAGGAAAATTTCCTGGAAAAAAAAATGCATCAAAAATGGCCTCAACCTTTAGTGATAATTGGCTCATATTGATTTGCTACTACACCATGATCTCCTCTGATCTCACTGACACTGGTAGCCATTCCTCAATCCCAGAGGCTCCAGTGGGAAGGCCAGTTTTAAAACACCTCTCTTCCCTTGCTGGCAGAGGCATTAATGAATTTGCCAGGTTTTACGGCCACCTTCTCCACCTCACTGCTGAAGCTGCAGCAGCTGACTCCTGACTCCGGCAGGACACACTTGCAAGGCTGTGGCACTGTGCCAGAGCTCCTTGGGGTCCTATGCCTCTGTATTTGTCCTTTGTAAATGTTAATGACGCAGTGAAAATCAGAGTATAGCATCAGTTAAAAATCTTTAGAGTCCCGCAGATTTTTTGTAATTTCCAACTGAAAAAGTATGTACTACGTTATGCGTACATGAACATGTATTTATTTACACACACAGCATAGTTCAGATGTGTATATGATTTATAAACCAGAATAATACTTTCTTCAAAGTCTAATATATATCTTGTTAGTGTTTCAAAACCAAAATACATTCAAACAAATGCTATTAAATCTGTGCAGCCACTCTCCACCCATCACTGTTTTCTGTTTCATACCATCCCTGTCTGCTTCACAGGCAAGAGCACACATCCATCACACTGCTGTGAGCTGATGGGAGATGTTTACCCTTTTTCAGTGTCAACAGAATTTGACTACATCTAAGTTCACTATAAGCAGATTCCAGTATATTCCCCTTCTGGTTCCCAGCTGCTGTTTCATGTGGGACAGGATCCAGAAATTTTTTAGATGCCTTGTGTCCTGATCACAGAGAGCCCAGGACCACTGTTCTGATTTGGATCTTGCACTTAGAAAGCAACAATTGCAAGTAAGTACACAAATTAATGAAATTATGGACAGAGAATCAATTAGCAAAGACACAGCGAGCATGAATAAATCACATGATACAAAGATACAAAGTACACTCTATTTCAACATTAATTACTCCAGTTATATTCTTTTTTAGGGAAGCTCATAATTATTTTACTTGTCTAATTTTTAACTGTAGTTACTTATTCAGATATTTTACTGAATAATACCGAGAAACTATTTTGTATAGTTGCTAAATGTGTGTCTCATGTCAGAATTAAATGTTACTTAGGCATTTACAAGAACAAGAAGTCAGGTAAACAGACATTTAAAAACCCTGCTTAGGTGATGAATTTTAGCATCTCATTTCCAATTACAATAAGCACGATCTTATGACTGCTAGTAATTAATACCAGCGCAATTGATATCATGAAGCCTTTCAGCTGACAGGTTTATAAATGCTAGTTCCTTTTTGAAATGTAGAGCATCCTACATCTTGGAAATAAAAAGCTAACAAATGAGTTCCTGCCTAATTGCCAAACACTGATTTGTATGAAGCAGTTGAGGCTACAAAGGAATTGGGAATTCTCAGCCCGGTTTCCCTGCTGATGAGTAAGAACTGTCTGTGTAGTTCTCCCAGAGGTGTCAGAGGAATCTCTATAGTGTCACACAAGGGTTCTTAGCTCAAAGTAAACACACTTTCCACAAACTCAGCTGCTTAATCTGTTTGCAGGTTGAATTATAAGATGGGGGTGGATGACTCTGGGTGCTGGGAAGACGCACAGAGCATTTCCACAGTTTCTTGGTAAAAAGGGCATGCTATTGTCATCAAAAGACTTCACCCAATTGTTTAATTTTGCTATAGGCTCAGTGGTCTGATCTCAGCAATAATGAAAACTAACCTGATCAAAAATTTCCCAAGTACTTGAGCATGTTAAATTGCATAAATTCTTTGCACTACAGCAGTGCATCAGCACAACTTTAGTTCGGGTTGTGTCTGCACTTCTGCTCCATGCACTCTGGTTACACAGGATTTAATAAGACTTCTCCAAAACAAAAACAAAGCAAAAACCTTCACTTAAATGTAGATTGCAAGTGTTTATAAATAAAAAGAAGCAATAGCAACTTTAAAATTACGCACTGTACAGAAAGGCACTACCAATACTCACTTTTAGGTGCTGTAGTTATTTTTCATAGTTTTTTTTTCAGCAAGCACATTTAATGCATCTGTTGAAGTTTCAAATGCACCTAACTAGTGATACTAAAGACCTGAATAATTCTCAGTCATTGGAGGTTTTAAAGTGATGACTGAAAATAAGAACTTTCATATTAAAAATTAATGAAAAATACTAATATTAATTAATTTTTAGGTAGATAAAAATACATTAAAAATAATGATATAATTTGCATTTTGTTAAATAGAAAAACTCAGTATGATTTTTTACTTACTCAAGAAGAACTCTCATTAGGTCCCTGCAATATATTATCAGCCAATTCCTAGTTGCTCTTGAAATACACTGCAGACACTGAAGTTGAAAACAAATATAGACTGATGAGAAAATTTGCATCAGTTCAGCCTTCACAACCTTGGAAGGGTGCTTTGAGGCTAAGGAGTGGAATACAGAGATAAGTGCCAGACGTTGAGGAGGCACTGTCTACACATTTTCCTATTTCCAAGAAATCATTCTGTCAAAAACTTACATGCTAGCAATAACTATCATGACAATAACAACTTCAGTAGAGATAAACTTTGAGAATTACACTTTGGGAAAGAGAATATCATCTCTGCTCACCCATTCAGAGACTCCCTGCTGATTTCAGTGAGATTTTGAAGCTACTCCTAAACAAATTCAACAGCATTTCCTATTGAATGAATCCTGCCCCATATGTAACAGACAAGAAATCATGAGAGAGCCTTAAGATTCTACCTTGCAGTTTTAAAGGTAAATGCTCTGTTATCATTGGAGTGCCATGGATGTAAATCATTCAGTGGGAATGGAAACATTTTCCCTGTACACTGCACATGCAGAAAGCAGTTTCTGTAACACAAGTGAAAAGCATCCTAACCACCACAGCACTGTTAAAATCAGCTTCTTAGCTGAGTCAATAACAGAACAAGAAAAAAAAAAAGGAAAGAAAAGGAAAGGAAAGGAAAGGAAAGGAAGGAAGGAAGGAAGGAAGGAAGGAAGGAAGGAAGGAAGGAAGGAAGGAAGGAAGGAAGGAAGGAATTTGAAAGGAACTTAGTTATGAGTAGCATCATACTTTCATTCAAGAAAAAATACCAGAAGAAACACTATTTTCTCTTGGTTTTCCATTGCAGTTTTACCCGAAAGAAGGCAAGTGACTTACTTCTGAACCTTCTCATTGGCCTCCTTCAAAGCCTCCAAGGCCTTCTGAAGCTTCAGCTCGGTGTCCTGCTGCTCGGACTGAGATTGCTGCAGCTGAGCTGCCAGGTCCTTAAGCTGGCCATAGGTAATGGTCACAATGTCGTCCCTGTCTTTCAGGCCACCTTCAGAAGTAATGAAAGCACAGTGAAGCCAGTCATTCAGGCTCACTCCTTGAGACACAGGTTTGTGTAAACTGGGGAAACAAAAGCATACACACTTCCTTAGGTTTCAGCATAACACTGAACTGCAAGAATCGTACACTCAGTTTAATTAATATTATCACATATGGATCTAGATAACAAATAAGTTCTGTTATAAATTATATATAGATATTATCTATATATAATGAAGTAAGTTCTGCTTCGAAGATGATGGAAAACAAAAAGAACATTTGATTTCCACAAGTGTCTTCTAAATGTATGTAACAACTAGCAGATGTTTAAAAAGCAAAAAGGTTATTACACAAAAACTTAAATAGTATTTTTCAACTGCAACATCTTCCCAATCACTTCATCACCTGCAGAAACAAGCTGTTAGTGTGATTTACATAAAGTTGAATTAGTCAGTGAATATTACTACTGTGTTATTAACTCATGTTGCACAGCCCTTTCTTTTAGCAAGCAGACAGATCAGCTACAGGGGGTTTATTTGAGAATTGCAGGTTTTTCAACATAATGAAAGGAATAAAAGTGCAACAATGTACAAACAAATGGACTATTCAGAAATATGAATCATTTGTGAATGCTAACCAATGCCAAAGCTATCAATAACTAAAGATGATAAGCAAAAAAAAGGATGTTGGACAGGCAGTTTACATGTAAGTCATGAGCAGAAATTCAAAAAAGAAGAATGAAGAAGACTGTGTATTGGGAAAAAAACTGTGAGCCTGTTAGATTGTGAATTATTTTCCAAGGAAGCAGCAGGTGTCCAACTGCCTGAGTTATTAAGGTACAATGCAAAAATCACATTAATAACTGACTCCCAGTGAAGAAGCCTGCACCAGAAGGCTCTTCATGGAATTGACAGTGATTTTTTCCCTCCTCTTCATAGTTACATTTTTATGATGAATTTTACACCAGTGAAAACGATAATGGTAGTACAAGAAACTCACGGAGCACATTTATAAAAAACAATGGCAGCAGGATATCATAATGAGCATGGTGTTTAGATAAATAACGTAAGTAATTTCAAGACAACTTTACAGATATCAGAAGCTGTTGCTATATTATGAGTATGAATTGATATCATCCTTTTGACTAATGACCATACAAACATCAAACGTTATTTCTGTGTGAATTTCTAGTAGCCGTGCAGACTAATTGCACTATTTGAGACACTCTGCATGTCAGCAGCTAGTATGCAATAGCACACTTTCTTCCTTCCCAAGGTATCTGTACTGAAAACATCCTTCTTTCTGTCAATCCATAGATGAAAATCATATACAAACTAAAATATAATACACAGGGACAAGCAAAATGTGAATAAGCTAATGGAAATCTAGAAGCTAAAAGGTCAGAGTGTTGGTATGTCATTACGTCTACTACCTGAGGTTGTCTGAAAATAAAGTGAAGAACCTTTTCAATTAAATGAAGACATATTGAAAATATAAATATTTATAAAGAGATATTAAAATCCCTAGAACAGTCTCACTAAAAATAAAATTACTTTTACAGTTGCACATAAAATTTATTGACTGAAGTTCTACTACGGTTGAGTGTTGATCACCATGGAAAAATACAAAGATATGCAAATAATGCTGAAAGCTGGGTAATGAAAAGCCAAACTGATGTCCAGTTCTTAAACACCTGCTACAAGAACAAAATGAAAACAAACAAACAAACAAAAAAGTCGCTGAGACGGTAATCTGTTCAGTGAATATATGGATCCCTGGTTTTCACACACACACACACACACACACACACACACACAAATAAGAATCTAAACCTAAAAATCCTAACATTTTCACACCAAATGTGACTTGTTTTTATTTTTTGGTTGTTTTTTCCTCTTTCTAGAACATATGAAAAAACAGAGCCTTTTATTTATATTCAAAATACTGTCTATGTCTGACTACAACTGGGCCCCTTCTGAAAGACTGGCTGTGAGCAATATAGCATGCAGTACACAGTTACATGTTTTAACTCTTAATGATTGCACCTGAGAGACAAATAGATTCTGATATATACATGATATATACACATTTTGTAAGCCAGCATGGCACCATGGTTGACAATCTTTTAAACCTTTTTTTCAAAAGCATAAAACTGCCAAATTTTCAAGAATATGTACTTTGCTAAAATGCTTTAGTCTGGGTTGATAATACTAATTTGAAATTCTTTCATTAATCTCCATAGGATTATTTCTTCAAAAAATGTTGATGTTATGAATCAAAAATAAATGAGAGTTCTATGCCTGGGGGTGGTTTACAAAAGCATTCAAACAGCTACTTGATTTAAGTAATTCACATTTTGATTATACAAAACCTTTTTGCTTACTCTGACATAACTGTATTCAAGCTAGGTCTGAGAGCTTCAATTAAAGGCTGCCTTTTCTGTGTCCAGGAGGAAGAAAAAGTCAAATGTGATGCTGTCATTTATGCAACTCCAACAGATAGCATGAAGTCCTCCCAAAGCCAGAGCAGTTTCAAGCCTGCTACAAATTGCACCAATTCTAACTGTTCCCAAAGGGCCTTAATACTGGCTGAAAGTCAACGGCATGAAGTGCTGCTCTTAAAACACTTCTCTCTTTTTGCCAGGCATACTTTTGCTGCAAGGTGAGAAATGCTTTTCCACCTGAAGCAATTACTGAATAACACACAGAAACCTTCTATCTAAAGGGAAAAAAAAAAAAAAAAAAAGTGGAAACCAAATATGCCCAATTTGTCCTCTCCTTCCACCTCATCCCCAATGATAAACATCTCTAGTGTCCCCAAGCACATGCAGATCTGATCTGTGGTGTTTTCACCACAAGTATCACTGACACTCAGGTTCTGTAGACCCCTCAGCAGCCAGCTCACACTCAGGTTGGTGTGGAAGAGGTCTGTTCATCCTGCTGCAAGCTCTCAAGGGTTGGGCAGCATGGAAATCTGGGAAATACCACCTCTGAGGTACTCATGGGAAACAATGCAATAAGACAAGATTTAAAAAGCCTATAACATCTAGAAGGACTTTGACATTTTGCTGCAAAGCAGAGGATATAAAATGATGAAGTTTGCATAACACATGAGTCAGTAGCCTGACAGCTGGTAGACAGGTAGCTAGATGGCATTGCCCTACCATAGACAAATATTTTATCAGCCTTCCTTCCTCCACAATTAAAAGAGTTAAGAGTACTGTTTTCTCTCCACTATAACCACCTAAACATCTTTCACTAGCTTAATCAATGGCACCAGCTTTGTTAGCACAGACTGTGTTGAGCACGTTATGTACAATGCAGACTGCATTTTGTGCATTCTTCTGATCCATCACAGTGTCACTATCTTAACTCTAGCATGAGCTCAGGCATCCTCTTTATATTACGTTCTTTCACCAAACTCAAGAATAAGCACATGTAGGACAGAGCCCACTGCTGATGTTCTTCCCTGTGTTGGCTGTTGATATAACCTTAGGGTTTTACAGGATAACATCTCAACAAATTAGCACTGATCATGCTTGCTCACGCCACCAAAATTAACTGCTTGTTAATCTGGATCCTAGGAGAACAGTAGACTGAGTTTCATCCTTCTCTGTTGAATTCATCTAGAGAAACCTGTGACCTGTACAAGGGTCCAAATAATGGGGCTGCTGTACGATTGTATGGGTTCGTTATCTGATGATCGCCCATCTCAGACCTTCCATTTTTAAACAAATACAAATCATTTGCCTCCTTGGATCTCAACCTTTTCACCTTTCCGTAAAAGCAATTGCATTAACTCGATGATCTCTGGAGGTCCCTTCCAATCCCTACAATTCTGTGATTCACTGCTGAAAAGAGACTTGTCATTGTTGAAACTGAAGTCAGATGCAGCACAGTTTGAATTCAGGAAAAACTAAATCCAGCACAATTTGATTTTAGGAAAAGTTAAATCTTCTGATGACATCAAGCAGCATTCTCTTTTGGATCTCATTTTCATTCTCCAGTGCACCTCCAGTACTCACACCATTCCCAAGTGTAGACTAGTCTGTGAGAGGTAGCAAAGACTGACAGCTCAAATGATTAAATAAGGTGTCCTTCTCAAGCTTGAAGGATTGCTGAGACATGTTCTCAGCAAGAAATAATTGGAAGCCATACTTTCATTACAAACTCTTTATTTCTACAGTTGCATGGTAGTCAGAAATCACCTCATGTAGCCAATGGGCAAACTGCTCAGATAGCACTGACTCGCATGTCAGCAATATGCACATGAGATTCAATATTACCCATTATTCCTCGCATTTACTATAGCATTGAATGGTCCAGGAAACCCTTAAAAATATCTTATGGGTGACTAACGCTTGGTTAAACAGAATCCAAGCAAAACATCCATACATGAAGCGGTATCCATAAGCAGAAGAAAGCATACTAAAGATTTTTGCATACCTTCAGATAGATGCAGACACATAGTTACTAGCTTGTGGCCAAGAAATGCTCCCGAATTTCCTGAGCTTATGATGCTCTCTTGCAGCAGCACATGGAGCAGGGCCCTCTATTTTAGTGAGAACTGTTGGTGATAGGTGGACAGTTGGACTGCATGATCTTGTAGGTTTTTTCCAACCTTGGTGATTCTATGATTTTCTCTGATTGATTAATGGAAGTCTGGCAGTTGATAACTTAGCATTAGCTTTTTTCACACATACATCTACTCTCAAACAGAATGCATCTGAATTTACAGAAGAGACTTGGATATGTTCTATGCTTTAATCCTAAATATTACTTGATACTTGTTAACATGAATAATAAAATAACAAGATTTCACAACAAATCTGTATTAATTGCAAGGCACATATCAACAGGCTATCATTTTTTTTCCCCATGAATTAGGCGATTGTGTTTTCAGCATAATAGCAGCAAACTACGATCTACATGGCTCTACTACCTACAATAGTAGATACTCCTCAGTTTTATTTAGCTATATGTTATTCCTACAGTCTCGCCATAAAATGCTCCTGTCATGTTCTGACAGCAAATTAGCTGTATTAGTATATTTTAGCCTAGCATTCACTGAGAGAGACTATT